GGTTTGGGGGTGTGACAGATTGGTATCAGAGCAATGTTTATAGTGAACTAAGTATATCGAACCTCATAAGATATACAAACTATAAATGCTTAGGGACTCAAAGTCTCTGAAAAAAGTTTTTTGTACCTAAAATCCTTATTTCACATAAATAGATTATTTTAGGTTATAAAAATCCGAAATACATGCATACAACGACACATTTTTATGATTAGAACTATACAAAAAGTATTAGGAAAAGTTGGACACTACGACTAATTCTCGAGATATGTAATCAAATTTGGGACGAATATAGCCTGATCAACTATGTTTATCCGAAATTTGAACTAACGTATGTCAAGGAATGATCGTAGTGAGCAACAAGTCAAAACTTAACAAAATAGACCTAGTATCTAACGTACAAATTAAATACTATAGGAGTATTTGGTGCATACACTAGATTAATTAGTATTACATGTCTCAAGTTTTATTCAAATCTTATAACCCTATTCTCGTATAGTCAAATGGCTGGATTTCACCCGCATGGAGACCCCTACTACCCATACAAGGCAACGGAGGATGGATTGAAGAGGATCCGGAGGAGGACGAAGAACCCATTGAGTTTGATGGCGGGGACGACTCCGGGACAGACTCAGAACCGGAAATAGTCAACCCTCCACCCATTAGGAGGAACTTTCTAGGACCGACTCCCATTTAGGAAGTCACCTCATCCCTGGAGCCAACAACAAGGGATACGCTCTCCTTACGGAATGTGTCGAGACTTCTACGACATCAGGGACGGGGTTCAGCCGACCGAGCACTTCCAGCAATGGTAGCTAAACTGGCCAACCACTCCTACCAATCGGGGGTTCAAGCAAACCGAATCCGAGAGGTCAACGTGGAAGTACAAATCCACACGGCCGATATCAACCGCCTGGAGATGTTGCAGAATGACATCCACCTCCGCATCGAAGCATTCCAAGCACAAGCGAATGCAGCCTTTGCAGAATTGAGGGAACAACAAGCCGCCTTTGATAGGCGTCTTATGGAGTCGAAGCAATCAGATGCAGAATCGAGCTCCAAGCGCAACACACGTCGCAAGTAGTACTTGTGAAAACCTCAAATTTTGTTATAACTTAGGACCTCGGCTAAAAGTCTTTAAATTTCTCGAACTTTGTAATCGGAGACCCTTATAGGGGTCAAATTTTCATGATCGTTGCATCAACTTTTATATTAATATAAGTGACACTATTATTACTACGTTGAGTATTTCTTTCAAACCTTGAAAAGTCGTCGAGAAACCAAATACTTGTTTCATACTTTCAATCTTACAAATAACTTTCATTCCTTCTATTTTAAGATTCATGCTATCATCTGTTGTTGAACTATGGAAATTTGGTTCATGAGACACATTCATTGTTCACTTATTCTTATCCATATCATCATCTTTTTAAACGTATAGTTAAAGATGCCGCCACGCAGGAATACCAGACGTAACCCTATCAATGAAACACCGATACCACCACCACCTCCACCTCCTCAATTTGATGTTGTCATGTTCCAAGCAACAGTCACCGCAGCGGTAGCAGCTGCCATGTCACAGCTCAATAACTCGAGTACAAATGACTCGAGAACTGGCACACACCTATCTAACCATGGCGAGAGTCATGGGCAACCCCGAGAATGCACTTATAAGGACTTTACTAATGCCAAACCCCGTATGTTTTATGGAACTGGTGGTGTGATGGCTCTGAGACAGTGGATTGAAAGGACAGAATCAGTCTTTGAAATCTGCTCCTTCCCCGAGCACAGCAAAGTCAAGTTTGCAACCTTCACACTCATTGATAGAGCTTTAGCTTGGTGGAACGGCCACGTTAAAGTACTTACCCTAATAGTGGCAAACTCCATAAGCTGGGAGAGCCTCAAAGCCATGATGATGAGAGAATACTATCCACGGGGAGAGATTCAAAAGCTCGAACACGAACTCTGGACTCTCGGAATGGTTGGTACCGACATCGCAACATATACCAACAGATTATGCGATCTTGCAATCCTTTGCCCAGACATGATTGCTCCTGAGAGCAAGAAAATAGAGAGGTACATATGGGGACTGACGCCCCAAATACAGTCAAGCGTGTTGGCTTCCAAACCTGACACCTTTGAAAGTGCTAAGGAACTGGCACAATCTCTTATTGACTACGGAGGTGATCAGAACTCAATCGCTTCTGCTCCAGAACCACAGAAAGGAAACTACAACAACAACAACAACAACAATAGCAAGAGAGTATGGAATAAAGGGAAGGGTGGGTCTTCCCAAGAATCCGCAAAGAAACAACTGGCTTCAGTGAATTCTGCCACGGTACCTACTACAACTCCTACAAATACCTACCCAACAAGGCCTTATGTAGGTAACCTTCCAAAGTGCACCAAATGCACTTACCACCACCATGGACCTTGTCGGGAAATGCAGTGCGCCAACTGCAACAGAAAGGGACACACAGCCCGTTTCTGCAAGGATCCCGCAAAGCCGATCACTCAAGTTCCCAGTGCGGGTATAGGCCAGACTTGCTATGGTTGTGGTGAGGTGGGCCACTACAAGAGGAACTGCCCTAAGGCAACAGGCACCGGCGGTGTGGGACGAGTTTTGACTATAGGCTATGACGAAGCTATAGCTGACCCAACTGTAGTTGCTGGTACGTTCCTCCTCGATAATTCATATGCATGCATATTATTCGATAGTGGAGCGAAGAGAAGCTTCGTGAGTCAAAACTTTATTCACTTACTTAAACCTAAACCTAGCAAGCTAGAAAAATCATTCACTGTAGAGATGGCCAACGGAAAAACCGAAAACACTAACTACATATACAAGGACTGTACGTTAACTTTAGACGGTCATTCTTTCCCAATCAATCTCATGTCGGTCCCTATTAAAAGTTTCGATGTCATAGTCGGCATGGATTGGTTAAGTCTTCTTCGTGCCGACATCATGTGTTTTGAAAAATCAGTTCGTCTTAACCTCCCTAACAACGAAACATTAGTGATTTACAGCGACAAATCAAGTACAAAACTTCGTATCATTTCGTACATCCAAGCTCGAAAGTGTTTACGGAAGGATTGTCAAGCATTCCTAGTGCACATCGTCGATACAAGTCAGGAAATGGAGGACATCAAGAACACTCCAGAAGTACGTGACTTTCCCGATATCTTTCCAGAAGAACTACCAGGATTACCACCACAACGCCAAGTCGAATTCAAAATCGACTTAGTTCCAGGGGCTACCCCAGTAGCGAAATCGCCTTATCGTCTAGCACCAGCAAAGATGCAAGAACTTTCCAGTCAACTTAATGAACTCCTTCAAAAAGGATTCATAAGACCAAGTTTCTCACCTTGGGGAGCACCGGTCTTGTTCGTAAAGAAGAAAGACGGATCGTTCCGTATGTGCATCGACTACAGAGAGCTGAACAAACTTACTGTCAAGAACCGTTACCCTCTACCCCGTATTGATGACCTATTCGATCAACTCCAAGGAGCAAACTACTTCTCGAAGATAGATCTACGATCCGGATATCACCAATTATGGGTACTTGAGGGGGATATTCCCAAGACAGCTTTCCGAACTCGTTATGGGCACTACGAATTTGTAGTAATGCCATTTGGATTAACCAACGCACCAGCAGTATTTATGGACCTAATGAATAGGGTATGTCGTCCCTACTTAGATCAGTTCATCATCGTCTTCATCGATGATATACTTATCTACTCCCGAAGTGAGGAAGAGCATAGTCAGCACCTACGAAAAGTCTTAGAAACACTGTGATCGGAGAAACTCTATGCGAAGTTCTCTAAATGCGAATTTTGGATTCGAAGAGTCGAATTTTTGGGCCACGTTGTTAGCGAGAAAGGGATACATGTGGACCCCTCTAAAATCAAGGCCATCGAGAATTGGTCGGCACCAAAGACACCTATAGAAATTCGTCAATTTCTAGGTCTCGCTGGCTACTATCGCGGATTCATAAAGAACTTCTCTAGCATTGCGAAACCTCTTACTGCATTAACCCAGAAAGGTGTGGCCTTTAACTGGGAAGCGAAACAAGAAAAGGCTTTCCAAACACTAAAACAGGCCTTGTGCACCGCACCGATACTATCCCTCCCCGAAGGGATAGAAGACTTTGTAGTGTATTGCGATGCGTCAAATCAAGGACTTGGTTGTGTTCTTATGCAGAGAGGGAAAGTTATTGCTTATGCCTCCCGACAGCTTAAGATACACGAAGTGAACTATACGACACACGATCTTGAGTTAGGAGCAGTGGTATTTGCTCTGAAGATCTGGAGACACTACTTATACGGAACAAAGAGTACTATTTTCACCGATCACACGAGCATTCAACACATTTTCGATCAGAAGGAACTCAACATGCGACAACGACGATGGGTTGAGTTACTAAATGACTACGAATGCGAAATTCGTTATCATCCTGGCAAGGCCAACATGGTAGCTGACGCCCTCAGTCGAAAGGAATACACTGGTCGGAGGGTCAAATCTCTAACTATGACTATCCATTCCCACGTATCCACACAAATTAAGGAGGCACAAGTGGAAGCTTTGCGACCTGAAAATGTGGCGGGTGAATCCCTGCGAGGAATGGAAAAGAATCTAGAAGTCAAGGGTGGTGGAGCATATTATCTTATGGACCGAATCTGGATGCCGAAACATGGCGGTTTCAGAGACGTAGTAATGACTGAAGCACACAACACGAGGTATTCCGTTCACCCGGGTTCAGATAAGATGTATCTGGATCTTAAGAAATTATATTGGTGGCCTAACATGAAAGCAGAAATTGCTACCTTCGTAAGTAATTGCCTTACTTGCGCTAAGGTTAAGTCGAGTATCAAAAA